GGAAAAAGACTTGTGATTATGGAATGGTAATTGTCATTTAATTACACAATTGTTATAATTATATTGTGCACCCCACAATACTTTGAGCAGTAAGATATCCTAATCCATGGTGTTTATCCATGTTTGGGTTGTAATCTAATTGCAAATGGGATTAAATTTAATCATTTTATCTTAAATTTATTAGATACCTATTTATTTATTCATCAAATTTATACAGCCACCCATGTCACAAAACAAGTGACTTTGGGTGATATACAGCAAGGCTAAAATGATTAATAAATAAACATCAAACAGCTATTATTATTAGAAACTGAAAAACTATAAAATACAGAAAACTAAAAAACAAATATTAGTCAAAGAGCAGATGTTAACAATAGTAGAACCACCTCAAGCCCAATGACAAAGCCTACTCTGGAGGGTTTTCTGAAAAGTAAATAGGGTTGGAGCTGACCTCACCTCAGGGAGGAAATTGTTCCATAAGGCGAGCACTACAGCAGGTAAGGGACGTCTCCTCAGCCCACCAAGTCTAATTCCCAAAAGATGGGACCTAAAACATGCCTCTTCTTCTGGGTCTGATGGGATGGGAAATTGTAATTGGCAAGAAGCAGTCAGTCAGAAAATCCAGTCCCAAGTCATGTAGGGTTTTAAAAGTCAAAACAGCACCTTAAATTGGATCTTAAAAACAAATTGGTAACCAATGCAGCTCATGGAGCAACAGTATAACATGTGTTGTTTGAGAAACATATGTAAATGCCCACACCACTGCCTGTTGAAATGTTCAGATGCTTTTTAAGGGCAGCCTGATATAGCATGAATTATAGTAATCTAATGGTGAGGCAGATGTGGTATTCAGCAGGTTCTGATCAGTTCTGGAGAACCAGTAGCGGAAATTTTGAGTAATTCAGAGAATCAGCAAATACCACCTCTGACTGGAGATTTTACAGTATCCTTCCCCTGCCATGCCCACCAAGCCACACCCACAGAACTGGTAGTAAAAACAATTGAATCCCACCACTGTGGTGAGGTGATGAGGGCATAAGAGAGCATGAATAAGAGCCGCTCAAATTAGGAATGGCACACAATGCAAAGTTGTACCATGACTCTCCTAGCCATGACTTCCACCTGCTCTTCGAACAGGAGTTGTGAGTCTAAGAGGACACCCAAATTGTGTATGGTGTTAGTTTGGAGCAGTGGCATAATCCTAAAACCAAAGTGGCCCTTCAAATCCAAAGATGCTGTCTTTCCAGCAGTCAGTTTAAGCCTGTTGTTCCGCAGTGAAGCCCTCAAGCCCTCACAGCCTTCAGAGACCGAGATAAAATGTCAGTTAATTGGCCAGGGAGTAAGATGCGAGCTGCCTGATACGGATGCACAATTCCCATTCTTTTAACGCCAGAGATTATCCAAAAGTATAACCAATGCTATCTCCATCCCATACCCAGGTTTGAACCCTGCCTGAAAAGGATTTAAATAATCTGTTTTGTCCTAGGCCCTCTGAAGCTGCTACACAATCACTTTCTCAACCACCATCTCCAAAAAGGTGGAGATGAAATACTACATGAAAATTGTCTATATAGTGGGGTCTAATGATGGCTTATTGAGGAGAAAGCAAACCAGCTTCCCTAAGAGGTAAATGAACAACCCTCTTACTGAAAGAATTGTGTAGTAGAACCAGATAACAGATAACAGGGACCTTGTAGGTCATCTAGTCCAACCCCCCCCCCCCACCCAAGGAGGCGACCCTATGCCATTTCTGACAGATGGGAGTCAAATCTCTTCTTGAAAGTCTCAAGTGACAGTGCTCTCACAATTTCCAAGGGCAAACTGTTCCATTGGTTGATTGTTCTCACAAGTTTCTCCTTATTTCTAGGTTAAATCTCTCCTTGTTCAGTTTCCATCCATTATTCCTTGTCTGGCTTTTGGGTGCTTGAGAAAATAGATTGACCCCTTCCTCCTTGTGGCAGCCCCTCAAATATTGGAAGATCGCTATCATGTCTCCCCTGGTCCTTCCCTTTACTAGACTAGCCAAGCCCAGCTCCTGCAACCGTTCGCTGTATGTTTTAGCCTCCAGTCCCCTAATCATCCTGGCTGCTCTTCTCTGTACTTTTTCTAGAGTCTCAACATCTTTTTTATAATGTGGTGAGCAAAACTGGATGCAGTACTCTAGGTGTGGTCTCACTAAGACTTTTTTGAGTGGTATTAGTACTTTGCACTTGATCTTGATTGTATCCTTCTGTTAATGCAATTTAGGATTGCATTAGTTTTTTTGGGGTGCTGCTGCATACTGCTGGCTCATATTTAGCTGGTTTTCCCCTAAGACTCCAAGATCCCTCTCACAGTTACTGCGATTAAGCCTGGTTTCACCCAATCTATTTGTGTGCTTTTGGTTTTTCTTGTCTAAGTGTAGGACTTTACTTTTCTCTACATAGAATTTCATTTTGTTAAATATGGCCCAGTGTTCTAGTCTGTCAAGATCCATCTGGATCTTGAGACTATCTTCTTGGGTGTTAGCTATTCCTGCCATTTAGTATCATCTGCAAATGTGGTAAATTCCCCTTCTATTCCCTCTTCTACGACATTAATGAAGAGTACTGGGCCTAAGATGGAACCTTGTGGCACCCCACTGCTTACTTCCCTCCATGTAGACTTAGACCCATTAAGGACCTGAGGTGGTATTCAGCAGGTTCTGACCAGTTCTGGAGAACCGGTAGCGGAAATTTTGAGTAGTTCAGAGAACCAGCAAATACCACCTCTGACTGGAGATTTTACAGTATCCTTCCCGTCACGCCCACCAAGCCATGCCCACAGAACCAGTAGTAAAAATATTTGAATCCCACCGTTAAGGACTACTCGTTGAGTATGGTTTGTCAGGCAAATGCTAATCCATCTGGTGGTGGTGCTATCTTTCCCACTTTTTCCTAGCTTACCAAGAAGTAGGTTGTGGTCTACTTTGTCGAATGCCTTGCTGAAATCTAAGTATATCATGTCCACAGTATTTTGCTGGTCTACTAATTTAGTCACTACGTTGAAGAATGAAGTAAGATTGGTTTGGCATAATCTGTTTTTAACAAACCTGTGCTGACTGCTAGTTATTACTTTACTTGTTTCTAGATGTTGGCAGATGTTTTTTATCTTTTTTATTATCTTCCCAGGTGTTGATGTTAGGCTGATTGGTCTGTAGTTTCCTGGGTCTGTTTTTTTTCTCCTTTTTTGAAGATGGGAACCACATCAGCTCTTTTCCAGTCCTCTGGTAGTTCCTCGGTGCTCATTTTGAAAGATATGGTGCAGTGATTCTGAGATGACCTCTGCCAGCTCCTTTAAAACTCTGGGATGTAATCCATCAGGCCCAGGTGATTTGTTTTCATCAAGATCAGGCAGGTGTTCTCTTACTATTTTTTTGGCTTATTTTAACTTTTATTTCTGGTCTGTCTATTACAGTTAAGTTTGTGGTGGGTTGAGCTATAGTTTGTTTTTGCGTGAATGATGCAAAAAATGAGTTAAGCAGCTCTGCTTTCTCTCTATTCCGTTACTTCCTTGCCGTCTTCTCTCCTTAGTGGACTGACTGCTTCATTTATTTTTTTGTTATTTATATGTTGGAAGAAACTTTTTTTTATTATCCTTATTTATTATTTTATAACCAGTAGAACCCACTTGCATGACACATGAGAGGTGTTTGTAAATAAATTGGTATATATTGCCATCTTTGATACTCAACCAATCATTCTTCATGGCCAAGACATGTTTAAAATAAAATAAGAAAATTATTCAATAATCTCTGATAATTAATCTTGTTTATGATTTACTATCCACCTCTCCCAAGACATAAAAACTAGTGCAAGAATTTCTGTTATTAGATTTCAGATTAATTATTATTGTAAAGTGGAAAACTAAAGGACACATTTCTTTAGGAAGTGATATTTAGAAGTGTTAGAAATTGTTTTTGCTTAAGAGTTAATCAAGTGAAAGTCTCTCTTGCAACAAAAACAACTCCTGATATCTACATGGGACACAGATTTGCAGTTTTCTTAAAAATACAGAAATGTTTTTTCATTGTCATCTTTTGCAATGTTTACATCCCATCTAGTCTGCATCTCTGGGATTTCTAAAGAATATGGACTAATCTTACAGTTAATGACAGGTGTACTCAGACTTGGTCACCATTATTTATCTATTTTAACTGTTTTTCATAAGTCTTTATTATTCAAGACAAATATGGTAAATATGATTGTTGACAACTTTTGTATCTTTGTATAAGATAAGTATATTTAGTTTTTGTTTTTATTCTTTGCTTTATTTCCTTTGAATTCTTATGTTTTTATTTTCTTTCCCACTTTTTGCCTTTGATCTTTTTTGATGCAATAATTATGGAAAATAAATTCACAGGATTTTGAAGTGTTTTCAAGATGACTTTGCTCTTATTTCAAGTTCTGATGTGAAACTTAAATCAATCAATATAATCTGCAAAATCTACCTGTTTTAGCCACTCCTGCTGTCCTACTTTAAATTTTACATTAATGTAGTGAGTCTGAGGAAACAAGATATAGTCTTTTAATAAAATTTATTCCTTTAACAAAAGATGGCGGAAGCTACCATAGGTTTAATACTCTCCCAACAACTGCTCAAGTGCCAGAGTTAACGTTAAGCTAAACAAAGAAAGTTGTATTATGGCTTAGCCACTAAACACAGCCATTATATTTGTTCTGCAGATCACAAGGTGGAAACTCTGTTCTTTGTTCCCGATTTAGATAATCACTAACAGATCACGATTTGCTGCCTCACCTAAATCCTGCAAACGAGGGAATTCCAACATTCGCAGATCAAAACCTGCTAGCTTTAAGGCCTACTATGCAAGAGGGTCAACATCCAGTTTAAAGAGAAGAAAAAGTCCGAAGCGCTTAAGGAAGTTAAAAGCTTCATGCCTCAGGAATCACTTTGGGAGCGGAAGGGTAGCGCCTGCAACCTTCAGGGGAGGAAACCAGACTCGTTTTTGCGAAAGGGCAATAATAATTTACCAAGAAGGGGGGGAAAAAAACACACCACACTCATAGCCTGAAAACCGGTTCTGTTACTTAAACGAAGAGCAAACGTTGCTGGAGGGGGTGAGAGACTTCAGAGAATCTAGACCAAGGAGGTCCAGCCTGGAGCCCAAATAACTCGGGCGGCGGGAGCGAGGAAAAAAGGTCTGTGAACCCGGGAAAGGCCAGCAAAGGCGCCACTTTGCCAGTTAAAATCTGGCAAACGACTTACGGGCAAACCAAGCGCCAAACCTGAGGAAACCTTTGGAGGCGGCAAGCTCCCCGCCGTTGAAAAGGGCAGCACGAAGTGTCCCGGAGGGGCGCGGTTCATTCTTTACACTTCGTGCAAAACGGACCGGGGGAGGGAAGAAAGAAGCGGGGGGGAGGAAAGAGAGAGAAAGAAATCACACGTTGGCGGAAGAAGAGCACATTCTCTACAACCCCGAAGGCACAGAAGTTTTCTCCTGCGGGCGCCGAAGCTCTTTCTCCTCGGCCACCTGGGCGCTTTTCCTCCTCGGGCGAAAGGGGGGGGGGCTCGCGTCCGTCCCGAAAGCGGAGGCTGCGGCCGAGGCTTGTGCGCGCTCCCGGGGAGGAGCCAGGCATTTGTGGCCCGAGGGCCGAAGCGCGCGCTCTCCCCGGCAGCCGGTTTGCCTGGGGCAGGACTGCGCTGGAGAGCAGAGCGAAAAGACAGACTATGAAGAGAAGCGACCGGCGGAGTTCATCGTTGGCCTGCTGTCCCGAGTAAGCCGGTAGCTTCCTGGGTGAGTTTTCTAAAGGAAGGAAAGTTGCCGAAAGGGAATCGGGACTACCCGTTTCTTAGTGCATTTGAAACACGAAAAAAGCCGGCGCGGCAGTCTTGGCCCGGCTTGATATTAGTAGGGAATGTTGCATCTGATTGATTCAAGAGATTAGGGCGCAATTCCGGGAAATGTGCCAAAAGAAAAGGCGCCTCCAAACTAAACAGGATACTATTTTCTTGATCTGGGGGAAAAGGGGGGTCTTTCTTGCTTTGGAAGCGTTAGGAAAGTAAGTTCATTTCTTGCTGATAACCTTAATGCTTCTCTAACTTAATTACTTTAGTGCTGTATCTCCGTTACTCGTTCGTTTTTGCTTGTTTTGTGCTGTCAACTTGGGGCTGTGTTGGCATCGCATAGAGCCTCACACTAGCCAACAACATGTTTATTGGGGTGGGCGAAGCCAGCCTGTTTGATGAATGTTTCCAGAATATATTACTTTCTCCAAAGTGTGTCAGCCTTTGTATTCTACACTTCTTTATACAAAACCTACAAAAGCTTTGTTTAATATTTTAAAAGCAATGGAAGGCTAACAAATCCCATATTTGCTACAGTAAAACTAGCAGCTACTTACTTTTTTTCTGTTAACGTGTTTGGCCACTTTAAATGCTTACCCTGCTGCCTATAAATGAATAACTGTGATTGAATTTTACTAACTGTGATTAGATGAGTCCTGACTTAACATCTTCATTTATTTCGATTGGGCAAGATTATAATTATATAATATAATCTTTTATAATTTGCAAGGTAATCAATTAAAACAATTAATTATAGATTTTCTCCCAGTCTGTGTGATAAGAAATGCTAATTTTTGAAAAGCAGCTATCATATAGACTTGATACCCAAATCGCATAGTTATTTTACATTTCAAAATGAGTGTTATAGGATAACCAAAATCCAGACCTCAGCTAGATGACAACACAAAAGTAGAGTTGTTCATTGTTGCCATTAACTGGTCCTCTAGATTTTTCCAGTTCTGATGTGGCTACTCTGTTTGGTTGTAACTAACCCTTTTCAATCTTAAAATGTGCTGATAAGAGGAGAATTTTAAAAAGATTTAAGATGCATCATAATTAACTTTAAAAGGTGACTTTCCCTTCTAATGGCTATATATACACAATATGGTAGACCATGAACAGTTCTGTACAAACCACCAAAATGACATTCACAAAACACAAATAAACTTTGTTGCTTAATATCATTTGAATAAACCTATATAGCAGTGTGTGGGAATGTAGTTAATCATATCTTTTCGCAGAGGCAAAAGTGTACACATTTCTGTGTAAATCCAGATATATCGTGTTTTCCCCAAAATAAGACCCAACCAGAAAATAAGGTGATTTTCAGGATGGTCATAATTTATGCCCTACCCCCAAAATAAGCCTCAGTTAAGATTGTCAGTCCTTGGGGGCATGGCCAGCACAGGAGGTGGTGAGCACGTGAGGGCCAACAGTGTCCTTGGCCGGCACACTCTGAGGCTGCGCAACCTGCACATCCACAGAGTGCCTGCCAAGGGGCCGGTGGACTGCGGCCGCTGCCAGACATGGTCAGCTCCTGCACGCTCGCCATCTCTTGTGCGCACACTGAGAGTGGGGTGCCCGGCCAGAGAGGGCTGGGGCAGTGGGGGGGCAGTCCCTCACCATCACTCTGATACCGTGTTTCCCCGAAAATAAGTCCTAATGAATCTTTTGATATATGATCAAGTCTTATTTTGGGGAAAACACTATCAACAAATGAAATATTTAAATCAGTGGTCAGTCCTACTAAGTGGATTGTTTTTCTGTAAAGCTGAATTTTGCATGTGTAATGGGTTTTAAAGAAAAAGAGCCATGGAGACCTGGCTGATCAGTGTTCATATTCCTTCCCAGTCAGTGAAGATGTTGAAAGGATGGTATGACTCATAAACACTCTCATTTTTTTACACTGTATTTATCTACTTTATTATGTAGCTTCTTATCCATAAGAGCATATTAGCTCCGATTGCTTTTATCCCATTACTAATATTTATTCAGAATTAAGATATGGATAGCCTGTGCCTGCAAATTGTTTCACAATTACTTTGTTACATTTACTTTTAATGTGACTACAGGTAGGTATAGTTGAAACTCTTGAATTAGAGATATGAATTCAATTAATTGCTAACTTATGCTTCTTCAATAGTTTCTGAAGTTCATTGCAGTTAAAAGGCAAAATACTATTTCTTCTTTGCTATGTGTCATAGCAAGGAATTATAGATCTTGTATGTGCATTTTTTTTAAATAGGCGAGTCTCTCCTTAATTTTTCCTTCTCCTTGAATGGCTACTCATGGGAGTGCCCTTTAACTACTAAAAATAAATAAAATGAAAAATAACCTCAAGCCCACTTGGTTTAAAGTTCTTTCCTCACCTGCCTACACCACTTTTTAATCTAAATTCCATTGCTAAAGATTTATACTATCTGGACATTCTGTTCTGATGCATAACTTTGATCACCTAAGTATGATTCAATTGGTTTTTAAAACTTACTTTCAAAGGAAGTCTTGGCAAGTCTTCACTTGGGTGCATTTTTTCTAGTTAAATCCTAGCTATGTTGTGTCTAGGAGAAGTGTCATTCAGTTTACCTTTTAAGGTAGAGAGTAGAATCAGCCACTAAGCCTTAGATGTATTTGAAGGGACCACAATAATAGCATTGATTCAATTATAAAGGTAAAGGTTCCCCTCGCACAGAGCCAGCACTGTCTGAAGACGTCTCCATGGTCATGTGGCCGGCATGACTAAATGCTGTTACATTCCCACCAAAGTGGTCCCTATTTTTCTACTTGCATTTTTACATGCTTTCGAACTGCTAGGTTGGCAGAAGCTGGGACAAGTAACGAGAGCTCACTCTGTTAAGCGATGCTAGGGATTTGAACTGCTGAACTGCTGACCTTTCTGATCGACAAGCTCAGCGTCTTAGCCACTGAGCCACCATGTACCTGATTCAATTACTACTGTTGCATAAATAGGCAGAAGTGGGTGGGGTTGGTTTTTTTTTTTGCAATATTCTCATGAACTACTTTATTTTACATTTTAATTAATGCATTTGTTTTATTGGATATTTATGATTTCATATATTGTATTGTACTGTAAACCATTCTAGGAAAATTTGATTTTGAAAAGTGGCATACAAAATATATAAATAAATAAATATTTCTCTCTTCCCTTTCCACAGCCCCTTATTCTTTTTTTTTTTCCATTTTGAATTGTTCAATGGTTAAATCTGTAAATACTCTTTTACAAGGATGGGTGAAGCTATCAGTTGAAACTAAGTTTGCTTTTTTGCAATTCCAACTTGAAATCCAGACAAGGTTAATCTGAGTATTATTTGAATCCTTACCCTTTAATGAAACAAGCTGCTAAAACTCAGGGTAACTTTTGTTTATTAGAAATGTGTATTTATTGGAGGTAACTCCAATGTGTGGCAAATAATTTACGGTATTAAAAAGCATACCTTATGGCTGAAAGTACAGTAAATAAATAAAATGTGCCCCACTGACTGTGTTTAAGTCTATTTAGATTCCACATTGCATTGTCTCATTTCTGTCATGGTTTTGTTCCAGTATGCTACTTGTATTTTCTCAGAATTTATTTATTAAGAGACTATTTTGCTCATGAGCTTATAGCTGTAGACAATGTGTTTGTTACTTTAAAAAATTTGATTATATTTATGCACCGCACTATAAGAAAAATGTGATCACGTTCTTCCCATTCTCGCAGGGTGAGACCAGTTCTTCTCTGCCTTCAAAGTATTAATTATTAGCAATTTAAATGGTGATTCTTATCATCTGCCTTATACTCCTCACCCACACTTTCAAGTGAGTCATCATTTGACTCTATTCCCTTCATCCTTAATCTGCACTGCTTTAAAATTTTAAAAGTTGCAAAACTGCTTCTTGGATGACGGTGGGTTTATAATGTTAGAAGTCTTAGCCAAGCACTGTCATAAACGGAGGCTTTCTGCCATCAAGCTGCAGAACCAATTTTGTTTTAAGATCGATCTTAATCAGGAAAGGATGTGCAATGTACAAGTAGTCCTCGACTTACAACAGTTTGTTTAGTGATTGTTCAAAATTACAACAGCACTAAAAAAAAGTGACTTATGACCGTTTTTCACATTTACAACCGTTGCAGCATATTACCATGGTCATGGGATCAAAATTCAGATGCTTGGCAAGTGACTCCTATTTATGACAGCTGCAGTGTCCTGGGGTCATGCGATCACCTTTTGCGAACTTCTGACAAGTAAAGTCAATGAGGAAACCAGATTCACTTAACAACCATATTACTAGCTTAACAACTACAGTGATTCACCTAACAGTTGTGGCAAGAAAGGACATAAAAAGAGGCAAAACTCACTTAAATATCTTGCTTAGCAACAGAAATTTTGGGCTCATTTGTAGTTATAAGCTGAGGACTACATTTAGTTAATTTGACTAGTATCTACAACTACCGTATGTATGTATTATGTCTCTCTAGAGCAGGGGTGTCAAACTCAAGGCCTGGCGGCCGGATCCACCCCGTGGGGTGCTTAGATCTGGACCATGGGGCTGCTCTTGAAACAGTGAAGGACTGGCCTGTGGTGCCCCTGCCAGTGAAAATGGAGCACTCAGGCCACCACAGTAAAAATGGTCATAAAGTGAGGTCTGCTCATGTTGATAATCACATCACTTAGTGACTAAAATTCTGGTCCCAATTGAGGTTATAAGTCAATACACAGGAATTTCACCTGTGCATTTTACTAATTGGCTTAAATATAGTTTACTGAATAATTAAAGTTCACATTATTTATATAAGACATTAAAATATAAAACTGTATTAAAGGATCATAATAATTGAGTTTGCATAGTATAATGAGCTAAAGTTAACATGTAAGGAAATACATGCAAGATACAAGGTGTCATTGAAACTTTGCAAATCAACCCAAGAGAATAATAGTATAGTATTAATAC